GGAAAAAATATGCGCACAATTCCTTATCTCCAGAATATATCTTAAAACTACATTGATTATTTTTTTTAATGAAACAGGAAAACATATCATTTAGTAAAACTGTGTACATCCGCAATGTGCTGCTGCCCTATTATGATAGATACGTTGGAGGGAACAAAAGTCAACAAAGTATCCCAGATGCGTTGGAGGGAACAAAAGCCAACTATCTCAGATACGTTGGAGGGAACAAAAGCCAACTATTTCAGATACGTTGAAGGGAACAAAAGAAAACTAAGTATCCCAGATACGTTGGAGGGAACAAAAGCCAACTAAGTATCCCAGATGCGTTGCAGGGAACAAAAGCCAACTAAGTATCCCAGATACGTTGGAGGGAACAAAAGCCAACTAAGTATCTCAGATACGTTAGAGGGAACAAAAGAAAACTAAGTATCCCAGATACGTTGGAGGGAACAAAAGCCCACTATCTCAGATACGTTGGATGGAACAAAAGAAAACTAAGTATCCCAGATGCGTTGGAGGGAACAAAAGCCAACTAAGTATCCCAGATACGTTGGAGGGAACAAAAGCCAGCTAAGTATCCCAGTCACTTGGAGGAACAAAAGCCAATAAGTATCCCATACTGGAGGGAATCAAAAGCAACTAAGTACTCCAGATGTTGGATAGGACAAAAGCAGCTAAGTATCCGAGTCACATTTTCAGCAACAGGGTGTTTACTAGTGCCAAATCATTCTCCTAGGCTGGAGACTTCGAAAGGCAATGAGGATAACGTCCATGGGTTAATAGTGCCAAAATCAGTTGTCTTATTATAGTTCTCTTTTTGTTTGTGAGTGTTATTTGTCAAATTTGTGAAGCTGTTCAGTGTTTTTGCCTAAAACTGTGGGTTCAGGGTTTCTTAAAGTTGTGGGTTCAATGTTTCTTACAAGAAAGTGTGGGTTCAATATTGTTTCCATAAATCTGTGGGTTCAATGTTTCTTGCTTGAAGCTGATTGTTCAGTGTTACTTGATGATGTTTGTTGAACATGATTCACGAAATCGTAATGACACGGTTGCAAATAAACGATACCACGGGTGGGGTTTGAACCCGCGGTCAGAGAATCTCAAAACTCCAGACCGTCGCGACGGTTTGTTGAATGTTGTGTACCTGGTGCTATTTGTTCAATGTTGCGTGCCTGATACTGTTTGTTCACAGTTTCCTGCCTGCTGTTTGTTTAGTGTGGCTTACTTGAGAAAACACAGTCAGTGCTGGTGTCATTCAGGCCTTGAGGATCATGACATACGAGTTTGTGGTCAGAAGTGACTGGAGAACTGTCTTGCATACAAACCTGCAGTATTTGGGTTAGGCTACAGTCGTCGCTGTGGACTGTTATGTGGTCTTTGGTTTGGACTTGGCTGTGGTCTTTGCTTTGGGTTGTGCTGTGGTCTTGACTGTAGATTTGGCTGTGGTTTTGGATGTGTTATTAGTCGTGATCTTGGTTGTGATTTTGGCTGTGGGCTTGGCTGTTGTCTTCTCTGTGGTCTTGGCTGTGAGGCTTAAAAATATTTTGAATATATTATATAGCTGTAATATATTAGTACTGTTAACAGCCCAATGTTAAGAAGACTACAAATGGTAATGATAGTAAAGATTGCAACTACATGATTTAATGATTTGTGACTCATATTGCCTTTTATACAGCAAAATTAGATACACGAACAATATGCTGCTACCAAATACTGTGTGACAGTGACTCTGTAATAATGGTATACTATCGAAACGTGTCACTTGTTTGTCGTCTTCATTCGAGCATGGAGGTGACAAATACTGTAGACGACAGAAGCAGTGGAGAGGTAAAAATGAAGCGATGAGACTGCCAGCCTTAAAGAAGTATCTGAGATGGTCAGTCCCTAAGTTCTGAGAAGTGTTCAGCTCTACAATCCATGGTGGTTACAGGAATGAAAGCGACCGCATGCACATTTTAATTCCGGAAAGCACTGAATGCTTGCAAATTAATACGGAACATCTGACGTGATGCATCAGTCATTATCTGGAGAAAATCCAGAGACCTAACTGCATTATGCACTTCAGTTTTGAAGTTCTAACTAAACCTAATAAGCCTTCCCTCCAAGCCTCGTAGAAAGAATGCAAATTAAATGACTTTTCCAATTTCTCCCTTGTGAAGGCTTACTCAGCCCTGTAATAACTTCAGACAGTATTACCAAGGCTGGCTCCTCCTCAGGAAAATTAATGAATAGAAAAAGAAATAATAACAGAAACACTATTATATAGAAAATATAAAATATAAAACACTTAAATATGAAATATTGATCCTACATTAAAGAAAATGAAAAATGAAAAATATAAATAACTGAATTCAACGCTAATATAAGACTTGGGTGTCTGGTGTTGGTGACACTGCTTGTTGAAATCGTAGCCGTTGCTGATGATTGGGGGGGGGGGGTCGCAGGTGTTGGTTACGACCCACTGGCTAGTTCTTCACAGAATAGCCGTGAGTATTCTATCCCGATGACAGGAAAGCAGGTTCTTTACCGCTGCAATGATGAGGGGTTACGTCCTGCAATTTCATACAGGTTCACAGGTAATTAAATCCATAAAGGGGAAGTCTCAGGACGTTAGTCCATCTCCATCAGTTCTACTCGTTGATTGGCAGGTGACCCTCTCTGTCATCCAAGCTGGAAAGATAGACAGGTTACCCACTGCTTAAGAAATCACTCTCCATGGTAAGTACAATACCTAAAAGATGTGGTGATTATTACAACAGTCAACTTAGAGCAAGACTGAAAGGACGAAGTTTATTATTGGTCAAAAGTGAAGCTTTCAACCAATAAATCCACTAGTAATACAAGGCAGGCATGTACTTACAGTAGTGCTGGGAGCTGTGAGTCTAGTGATTACTGTTTGGACCGGAGCCCCACACGTCACCTTTGGGGGAAGGGGGGGAGAAGGAGGGGAAGGGATAGCGGGAGCTAGACTGACCCTACCTTAACAAGCAGCCGGCAGTCAAACTATCACTTTCGGGGTGGGGGAAAAAAGGCTGGAATAGCGGGAGCTTGACTTACCCTACCTTAACAAGTAGCCGGCAATGAAACTATTGTTACTATATACTCCCTCGCTACTCCTATCTATTGAACTTTTCCCTCACACCCTCCCAAGATAGAGATTACCTCACTGATAACCAGTGGGAACAAAAGGTAGCCGAGTTCCTCAGTCATATTCCATCACACAAGTGAGCCCGGGGCCAGGTTGGTGGCGTTGCTGTCGCAAGACTATGACTGCCTTAAAAATATCAGAGCATGTTCCCTCTGACATCAGTTCGCTCTAGTTCTTGAAGAGTACAAATTACTGCGGTTATAATTATAACCTGAATTTTTAAAGAGATGGAGTTGTAAGCCAGTGAAAGGCTTCAAACCGATGACCAAAAGCTCCAGTGGAGGGTCATCACATGACTAAGACCCGCATAGGAAAACACTTGACCTGTTTCCTGACGAATCTTACCTAACCTAACCTGAAGTGTTTTTGCAAAGTAACCTTGAGATACCGTAACAGTAACTGTGACTACGCTACCGTCACAGCCATGTTGATCCTTTCATTCGTCACAGTAAGTTCGTCCTTTCTACCACTACACTAGTTTTGACCTTTCTACCCCTTACATTTGACCATTCTACCGTCACATTGTTTCACCTGTCTACCGTCACAACGTTTAACCTTTCTAACGTTACAATGACCTTTCTACCGTCAAAATGACCTTTCTAATGTTACATTAAGTTTGATCCAAAGATTTACAGTAATTCTGACATGTCTAACGTCAGAGTAACTGTGATGTGTACCGTCACAGTTACAAATGCATGTACCATCACAATCGTCATGGTAACTAAAATACGTCTACCGTAACAATTGTCACAGTAACAAATACGTTTACCGTCATGGTAACTAAAATACACATACCGTCACGGTAACTAAAATACGTATACCGTCACGGTAACTATAATACGTATGCCGTCGCGGTAACTAAAATATTTCTACCGTCACGGTAACTAAAATACGTATACCGTCATAATCATCACAGTAACTGTAAAGTGTCTTCATTAATTTTAACCTTCACAGTAACTTTCACAAGGTGACCGCAATATTAGCTTTAATACAGTCATCTCAGTAAATATTAACAATCTATTGTTAGAATAAGTCTTATCTATCTAGTGTCACAGCTACGATAACTTTAATCGTTGTGGGAACCCTGATCAATCTATTATGACAGTCACGATGACTCTTATCGTTAGAACAACTCTGATCTATCGTCAAAGCTATGATGACTCGTATCGCTGGGGCAGTTCTGATCAATCATAACAGCTAAAACGATCTATCTATCATCACCACAACTTTCAGCGAGTGAATTTACACCTCTATTACACCTACGAACGACAACATGTAACATTACACTTGCACAAGTTCTTACTGGATTCCAAAAAAGTAATGACCATATGGCTAGTGCCTATTGTGGCTTCAGAATGATAGTACTGCCTCCCGCACAAGACACAGGAATAGTGTTTTTGCCAGACCAGCAACTATCACAGAGTTAGCCAACGGTAAACCACCCTAGCGAAGGGATCGCAATGTGTATTAAGCGAGAGGTGAATGTTTTGACCGGAGGGTAGATGGCTCTGCTTGTTGCTGTCGTCATGGGAAGTGTGCCTGATACGTGTCTATTGTATGATGACCCGTTCAATGGAGCCGTTGGCATTTTGGCGGAGGCGCGGCCAGATGGCAACTGCATTACGGACGGCACGAAGCAAGAAGGCAACTGCAGTATGGAAGGCATCCAGCAAGAAGGCAACTGCAGTATGGAAGGCATCCAGCAAGAAGGCAACTGCAGTATGGAAGGCATCCAGCAAGAAGGCAACTGCAGTATGGAAGGCATCCAGCAAGAAGGCAACTGCAATATGTAAGGTATCCAGCAAGAAGGCAATTGCAGTATGGAAGGCATCCAGCAAAAGGCAACTGCAGTATGGAAGGCATCCAGCAAGAAGGCAACTGCACTATGGAAGGCATCCAGCAAGAAGGTAACTGCAGTATGGAAGGCATCCAGCAAGAAGGCAACTGCAGTATGTAAGGTATCCAGCAAGAAGGCAATTGCAGTATAGAAGGCATCCAGCAAAAGGCAACTGCAGTATAGAAGGCATCCAGCAAGAAGGCAACTGCAGTATGGAAGGCATCCAGCAAGAAGGCATCTGCAGCATGGAAAACACGAAGCCAAAAAAAAAAAAAAAAGTTGAACGGAAAGCGTGAGACACAAAAAAACAACGGCAATATGAAACACTTCATAATTACTACGTTTCTCTCATGGGAAAAATGTGATACTAAAGTACGAGTTACTGCTTGAATGTTACTCTGCGACATTTTGCTCTCACCTCATCCACCGATTGTCCGTGGAAATGCTATGCAAGTTTCATTACACCTGCTGTCTCTGTTCACCTAGTAGTAAGTAGGAATCATCGCTTATCTCTATAACCAACAATTTCAACCAGAACAATGGCTTCTATAACATAGCTGAACCACTCGCCAAGAAACTTCTTCATCGCTATCCCACATAAGAACATAGAACACTGCAGAAGGTCTACAACTTGTCCAATACCCCTGCCAAGCTACCCAAGACTCTATAACCCCACCCGGTAGATCAGATGCAGCATTCTCCACCTGACCTCAACATTCTGAACATGACTATAAATACTCTCGTACCTTCCAACCCCAGGTAGATCCGTGTGTGACTTGAAAAAGCCCACTGTGTGGGTGAAACGTTGTCAATAAAGGATCACATTATACTGCATTTGTGTTTATATTTCCAGTAAGTAGGTACCTGAAAGTTAGTCGACTGGTGTGGGTCGCATCCTGGGGGACAAGATTGGAGGAACCAGAATGGAAATAAGATACAGTCCTCGATGACGTACTGAATTCCTTAGGTCATCCTGGGCGGTTAACCATCCAGGTTAAAAACTCCAACGAATCTTATCTTAATCGGTGAAGATAAGATGCAATAAAAGACGATTTCTTTTTCCTCAGCTGCTAGTACTGTAGTCGGCTGCCCTGTCATCCGAGCCCAGTGGAGGCATCACAAAGATAAACGATAAATCAAACACCGCAGTAGGCCTACCGCGGTATTAGGATATATTTTAAGTAAACGTTTTCACACGAATGGATTCTTCGGGCCTGAAAACCATTCGTGGCGAAAAGTTCCGTAAATAAAATATCCTAACACCGAACAAGTGCTCGATTTCACAATTGTCTGTATTTTATATCATCTCTTACCAACTAGGCTTACTGCAATGTACATACAAAACCCGGAGAAATCACACAGATATGGTGCACAATGAACTAGCAGCCGAAGCAGCTAGTTTGTGCAAGATCATATGGATACACAAAAGGCCTAGGTACTAGGCCCTAAAAGGGGTTTACAGGAGTATATTTGGATTTATATCTACAGTTCACTTATCTGTTACATTACAGTGGTTCCCAAACTGGGGGTAAATTACCCCCTGGGGATAATTTAACCATTTTTGGTGGGTAATGGAGGGGTGACAGAAAAAAAGTTATGAATTCTGAAAATCAAGAAAACAATGCGGTACCCGGTATGAGGATTATTGTTAACTTTGTCTTAGTATATAAAGTTGTAAAGTAAACCTATTATAAGTAATAAAGTTAAACCAAATAAGAATAAACATCAAAAACTAATATACAGTATTAGAAAAGAAGAAATATATAGCTAAGTGTGTGTAAACCCAAAAGTATTTTGACAAGTATGCTTCAGGACAAAAGTCACTCAGTAACCCAGATCGACCTGTCCAGTATGCGTCACTCACTTCCTGAGGCTGCCTCTATTTCACACTGTCAGTTTATCTGTGAGCATCAGCCGAGGTAGACATGAGCTGGTATGTATGTGTACTGCCCTGTGCAGTATATAGTTAGTATTTACCCACTGTTACTGTAAATTTGTAGCTATTATTAATTTTATATATAATGTATGTGTGGTTCTTACGTTTTCAATGGTTTTGCTAGGATTAGCAGAGTATGCGAGGCTGTATACGTTCACGTTTAGCCATATATCCCCTCAAGGAAGGTTCCTTGATGTTGGTGAGGGGCTCTTGATTTAGGGAATTGGATCTGTGCTCCAGTTCCCCGAATTAAGCCTAAATGCCTTCCACATCCCCCCCCCCAGGCGCTGTATAATCCTCCGGGTTTAGCGCTTCCCCCTTGATTATAATAATAATAATTAGCCATATATATCAATAATAACATTTTGTGAAAGGGGTAACATGCTTTATGTGGCATGTTAAATTGGGTAACAAACTGAAAAAGTTTGGGAACCACTGTGTTACAAACAAATTTAGGAAATTTACTTAATATGTCTGGTATTTTATTTTCATTAATTAATAAGATATCTTGTACATGTGTGGTAGGTAGTAACGACAAGATAAAGAATTAAACACACGAGCAACATCTGGTCATCTTTACTGCAGACGTTCCGCCATCCAGTGGCTTTATCAATATAAACTCAGGGACATAATTGGAACACAATAGAACTATATACAAAGATATCTTGACATATCACATAGGTTATCATACTATCTCTATATTCAAGAAAAGGTTCATTGGGAACTAAAAGCAGCAATAACTCTAGCCAACCCATCCTTCATCAGGAATAACAAGCTGCCGGACGTGACTCTTCAGTCTATCTTCACCGACTTCCTCACTAGAGAAACATTCTCACCACACAGCCCGACCGGTAAGCTAGCGGTCGTCCTGCTTTAGGTCGTCCTAGGGTCAAAGGTTCCTGATGGACGCATCAACAAATATTAAGAAGTCATAGTACGAGATTTCTCCACGACGAATCAGCTAAACAGTTAAAAACAGCAGCAGCAACATCTGCTTGAGTCACAGCTGCAACAACCACACACGACAATCAAAAAATCTCACAAAGAATCGCGCGTTTACGTAAGAAAACAAATGCAGATTTTATGCCAATAATTTCAGCCCCGTTGGCTTACTGTTTGCTGTAGAATACTGAAGTGGAAAATGTATCTTTAAGAAGAGAGGTACTCAGATGAGGGAGAGAGAATGAATGTACAACGTCAGTAGGGTAGGCCAAGGTGAACTACTCTTGTGCCACCTGGCGGCCTGTGATAAATATTAAGGGTGAGAAAGAAGCCGACAGTGAAGGACGGGATGAGGAAAAAGAGGAAAAGGGCGATTAAAATGGGTAAAATAAGTAAGATTACATGAAATAAGACAAATAATAGAGGTAATTTAATAAGGATGATTAAACTCATCTCTACCTTCCACACCCTCAAGGAAGGTTCCTTGATGTTGGTGAGGGGCTCTTGATTTAGGGAATTGGATCTGTGCTCCAGTTCCCCGAATTAAGCCTGAATGCCTTCCACATCCCCCCCCCAGGCGCTGTATAATCCTCCGGGTTCAGCGCTTCCCCCTTGATTATAATAATAATAATCTACCTTCCACTTGTCTACGTAAATGAAGCTAAATATTATCAATAATTATTATATATTTATATTATCATTGTTTATATTATTAATATTGTTAATTATTATTATAATGACATCACATCAGTATAGTATAAAAATGATGATAGAGAAATTAAACAGCATTTGAAACAAGTAAAATTAATTCAGTATAAAATATAATCTAATTATTTTTTTTAAATTAGGATTTATATTTTTAATAAATATATATTTTTTTTTTAAAAAAAAAGACCTTTTAAAAAAGTGCTGTGTGAATTTAAATAAATATTATATATATATTATTTTTATATTTAATTATATTTTTAAAATATTTATATTTATATATAATTAATATATATATATATAATATTTTATTATTTATTTATATAAAATATATTTTTATATATATATATATTATATATATATATTATATATATATATATAATATATAATATATAATATATATTATATATATATATATATATAATATATATATATATTATATATATTTTTATATATATATATATATATTTATAATTATTATATATATTATAAATTATATTTATATAAAAAGAAGAAGAAGAAGAAGAACTAAGAACATAAGAACGAAGGAACACTGCAAAAGGGCCTAGGCCCCGCGAGGCGGGCCCCAAGTCTCCCCCGGTTTAAAGCCAATCCCCCCCCCCCCCCCCCCAGTCGGGTCAGGCAATTGACTTAAGGGGGAACACGGCAACCGCCCTGTTAGCACAGTATCAGGTCTAATCACCCCCCCAATCTACCATGTATTTATCCCCCTTTTTAAAGTACACAACGTTCGGGCCCTCTTTAACGGTCTTGGGGTTTTTTTCCACTATCCAAACTCTTTCCCAAAAACCAGTCTTTCCTTTACCTTTCCCTAAATCTAAATTTTTTCCAATTAAAAACATTGTGGGTCCTGTCTAGGCTAGATTTTTCGCCCTATTTACACCCCCTTTATTTTTCCGTCTTCCATTTATACCCCTAAATTATATCCCCCAATTTACGGGCTTTTAGAGAGTGAGTTTCAGGGCCTTAGTCTTCCTCAGGAAGGTTTTGTAATGGGGTCATCTTTGTCATCCTCCCTTTTTACATTTTCAGAGAATTTATATCCTTCTGTAAAAGGTGACCCCCAAAATGTGCAGCATAATCTAAATGGGCCCAACCGGATGTATAGGTTTAGAACAACCTGAGGACTCTATTATTTATGCTTCTTGTTTTGAAGCCAAGGATTTTTGTTTATTGCGAACACTTATGCACGTTGTCTTGGGTTTTAGATTATGCTAACCAGAAACCCTAATTTTTTCGCAATCCGTAATATTAAAATCTAAATTTTTTAGTTTTATGTGGCATGGTTATTGCTGTCCAACTTTAGAACTTTTATTTGTCTATATTAAACTGCATCTGCCACTTCTCCGACCACTGCATCAGTCTATTCAAATTTCCTGGAGTGCTCGAAAGTCCTCGTCGAATGAATTCGAGGCCTATTTTGGTGTCATCGGAAAAATTGCGTGTCGTTTTATGCCCCATTCTAGTCGTTTATGTGATTGTGAACGCAGGGGGGCCCCCCACTGCCCCTGTGGAACACCCCCTTTTGGGGTTCCCACTGTTTCTCCCATTTATGCAAACTCTTGTGCCATTTTTCAAACCCTGCCTTTCAGGAAAAAATTTTTCCTCCTTTCCCTTGCTTTTAATTTTCTCAATATCTCTGTGTGGGACCTGCCAAGCCTTTCTGAAGTCATTTACACATATATATTAAAATTTCCATTTATCTACCCCCTCAAATCCTTAGTGAAAAAGTTAATAAATTGTAGGGAGGAACGCCCCTTTGTAAAAACATGCTGAGTTGTTATTAATTTATGCTTTTCAGGTGGCAGAACTGCCTCGGCAAATTTTGATTCCATAAAATTTTTCCCCCTATGGAGGTTGGGTTATTGGTCTATAGTTCGAAATAAGGACCCGTCACCTGTTTTGAAAATAGGGATCCATTTGCCCTTTTTTTACTTTCTGGCACCATGCGTTTAGTGTATGTTTTAAAAGATTAGCAAAGGTGGCTAAGCTCCCTTTACATTCCTTTTAAACCCTTGATACAGTTTTCAGGGCCTGGGGGTTTGTTAGGTTTTAATTTATCTATTTGCCTAGGACCATGTCACTTGTGACCCTAATAGTGCACAGTTTTATCGTCCTGTTCTAATAATTTATCATTTACTGGTATATCGGGGTATCCTCCTGTGTAAAAAACTGAGGGGAAAAGGTATGTGTTAAAAATTCTACACATTTCCTTATCACTGTCAGTGAGCTGACCCGAGGAACTTTTGAGTGGGCCTTTTTCTTGTCCCTGATTCTTATTCTGTATACCGGGAAAGAACCCTTTTTGGGTTAGTCTTCGATTCTCTTGCAACTTTAACCTCATAATCTCTTTTCGTTTTCTAATTCCCTTTTTTATTCTTTTCTTTAACTGAATATATCGATTTTTTAAATTTGGGCCCCTCTCCTCTTTTGATTTGCTATATATGCCTTCTTTTGACCAATCAGATATTTTATCTATTGTTCTTTCCATTTAGGATCATTTTGTTTGATCTGTTTTCCCCTATTTGGAACATAATTTGACTGAGCAGCTAGAACTATGCCCTGGAAAGCATCATATCGGCACCATCAACCCCCTACCTGACCCTTAGTCAGGTCTTTTCCGTTCAGCCCACCTAAGTAATTTTTCAGTCCTATGAAATCAGCCAAGCGAAAGTCAGGGACGGAGACTTGATTGCCATTATTAGGGGAATTCCATAATATATTAAAACTGAGTGATTTGTGATCACTCTCCCAAGCTCATCATTAACCTCAAGATTATTAATTAGTGTTTCCCTACTGGCAAGAACCAAGTCAAGGAGGTTATTTCCCCTAGTTGGCTCTGTCACAAAACTGTTTTAAAAAAAAAATCCTGGATCGTATCAAGAAAGTCACCCGACTCTAAATTTCCCGTCAAATTTCTCCAGTCAATCGTCTATAGTTGAAATCTCCCATTAGCACAACTTTTCGTATGTAGATGCCTTACGAATTTCGTCCCATAGAAGTTTACTGCACTCCCTATCAAGATTTGGGGCCCTGTAAATCACACCCAAAATTAGTTTTTCTCGGCCCTCGAGAAGCTGTAACCCAAACGATTCAGTGGCTGACGCTTCTAATTTAATATCTTGTTTACACAACAATTTTAAAATTTTCTCTGACTACATCGCTACTCCCCCACCTTTCTGTTGACCCTGTCAGTGTGGAATAATTTATAGCCTTGTATGTGACATTCAGAGGGCATCTCTTATCTTTCAGATTGAGCCAGGTCTTGTTATAGCAATAATTCTATGTTTCCTGCATTGCAATTAATCTTAGCTATCTATTTATTTTAACACTCCTGCTTATTAGTATAGTAAACCTTAAGGGAGCTAGTCCCTTGCTGCCTCTGCTGCCCCCTTTGTTAGCTGACCTGTTCTATTGTCTTTATTTATAACTTCATTTCTGAATTTCCTTTTAAAACATTTACTGTTTCCAACCCTAGTGTTGCAACCTGCTTGTTTCCCACACACACCCATACCTCTATCTTCCATCAGTTTAAAATTTATTTGGCATTTCACCAATGGCCTTCTCAATCGAGTTGCAAGTGCTACCACCCCTGCCCCCGAGAGATGTCCCATCCCTTGCTTCATATCATGTTTGCCATAAAAGTTGTTCCAGTTGTCAATGAATGGGATTGCAAGTTCCTTGCAGTATTGTCTACCCAGCAATTTCCCCAATTCCCCCTAGAAAACCCCATTCTTTTCCCTATCCCTTTGGGCAAGATGAAATATTTTGGGGATCCCCCCCTAGATTTAATGAAATTATAGCGACTTTTACTTATTGCAGCTCTTCTTCCTACCTTCCCAATTTCTTTCCCCCAGCATGAGACAGAATGGTTGTTCCCTTTATAATGTTTTTCCCAGCCTGTTGCAAGTCCCCAACCCCGCCCCGGGGGAGCACACTCTATTTCTCTTCTTTTTTTACAAAAAGGGTAATATATCTTACCGAGGCCCCCAACCACAAGAATGCGTTCCCTTCATTGGGGCAGTAGTCCCCTTCTTCTTGGCACTGAAGTACATTCACGGGAGAACAGAGAAGCGATTTCCTACCTTCAGATCTTCACTCTAACTTTCCTTACTCTGATGCGCCTCCCATTACTGTGAACAACTCGCCACTTGCAGCAGGTGCTGGGCTGCACCTCACTGCT